CAAATACGATTTCTAAAAATTGGACCTTTGATATGGGTGAGAAATTATCCCAAATGTTTTTTAAAAAGTTGGCTGGGATACAATGGGGGGGCACTGCAGATGGTAGGGTCTCAGTTACATTGCTGTGCCCTTTGTGGATATTAACGCTTACCTGATGATGTACCAGATGCAAAGGCAGAACTGTCTTCTGCGAGACGTCTACGCCCTGGTTTTTCTGTCTTTTCAGACACTCTAAGTGAAAAGATGCTCTTCGACCTGAAACAGCAATCACACACAATTGTGTCCATCACTCATTCTACACTGCAGTTAATCTGATTTCAATTTCTTTTAGTGCAGTCCCATTGGAGATACAGCAAAGACACCCACATTTTAGGCTCTGTCCACTTTCCCTCAACACCTTGCCCTTTCCAAAGCCTTTGTATTTACAAAAAGCAGTCAAGCATCATGGACCAACCAGCATTGCCTTCCAAGCAAGCTGCAAGATAAAATTCTGGATGATAATTTTTTTTTTCCTCTTTTAAAACACTGTCCTAGTAGATACCACGCAGCTGATTTCCCTCCTAAGCAGTGGAAGTGTTCTCAGACCTCTTTGGTTCAGGTAAAGCCCTCAGCAGGACTGATGATGGCAGCCGAGGCTCTGGTGCTGTGCCTGGCTATACAGAACGTGCAGGAGGGGACGTCAGGCTGCTCAGGTGACATCGGCCTCCCGCTTGCATGTGATCTGTGTCCCTTAGCTGCCAGACATACCACAGTTTAAGAGGCTGTGTCTATAGCAAGGTCAAGTGGAAGTGAATTAATGGCTGAATTCACCGGTGAATAGAAGGCTGCTTATATAGACATGAAGCATTTTCAAAATTTGGAAAGAAGGAAAGAGAAAAAAAGCTTTTTTTTTCTTGGGAAAAAGAAAAATATTTTAGGGGAACTATTGAAACAGACGCATTGTTTACTTGCTGTAAAATTAAACTTTACTTCTGTAAATATGAGGAAGGTACTCCTTATGCAGGAATTTAAAAGTACTGCAAAGTATGTTTATGAACAAGTGCACAGGCTTTACTTCTGAAGAATGGCAAATAAATCCAGTATTAAAGACAGAGCTGCATGGCACACTAAAATATTTTGTGGACTTCTTGATCCTGTTGATATTTTTCTAAAGAAGGAAAGAAAATTAGAATTCTGAAAATAGCAAGTATCTATAATATCGATTTGTTGAGAAAGGGCCCTCTCAGGGGTTGGAGGAAATGTGTTACAACCCAGAGAACGAAGGGTACAATGCAGATAAAAAGTATTTCCTCATTCTAGAGAAAAAAAACTGCTAAAATGAGTATGATATCACTGTATAAATATTCACTAGAATGTAGTTAATGAAGCATTGTATCAAGGACTGACTGCAAATTTGGCCTTACGGATAGATATAGGAATGGTCATTGCCTAATATTTTAAGTTTTGAAATAAAGTAAATGCTTTTAAAATACTCAATTGTACAAGCATCCTGAAGGATTTGAGCGAAGACTCAGTAGCCTCATTTTAAACACTACACTACCTAGTCTGTCACTTTTCTTTTGTAAGGATGTATTTTATATACAGGATTCTTTTTAGTTTCTCCCCCAAGTGTCCTTCTTCTCCACACCAGTACTCAGGAAAAAGGCTGAAAAATATTCTACATAAAAGAGCTCGTTTTCTTCCAGACTCTGACATTTGTCCTGATACTTTCATAAAATCTCGTGATTCATGGATTTCGCCTCAGCGTAGTCTGCACGCTCAAGCACTTGAAAATCTCCAGGTACAATTAGAGCAGAAAGCAAATTTGTATCGTATTAACTTAATCGGAAATTAACTGTTTTCCTCGTAGCAGACAAAAGAGACAACCTCTCCTTTCTCCCTGCTGAATACACACAGAACAGAACACCATATACTCAAGGCTAGCCCATTCGGTGACTCCCTGGTGATTGTTTGGAGAGTCTACAGTGCACTAATAAACTGCCCTAATTCACAGGCAGGCTTAATCAAACAGACCACATGGACTATCCAAACAGCCACAGATTCATCTACCGACTGAGCGTGAAGTCAGTAGAGTCATGTGCATGATCAGGATTGTATGCACGCTGTGGGATCCCTGGTCTCACGAGCTAAATGCAGCAAACAGCAACACCTGTGCCCACACATGCTGGGATTCCTCCAGCAAGATGTGAGAACTCGGTCGAGGCAAAGGAGAACAGAGCCCGCATGTCACGCTGGGATGTTACCTAGTGCTGAGGAGCACAGAAACCCTTTCTTCGGAGAGTGCCGGGTGTCCTCTCCTTTGTTGTTTTCTGGTGGAGTAAGTTGTCTGTTTTCATCATCTTGGTATGCAAGCCTGGAAAGGAGAACAGAGGGATTCTAGAAAAGCAGCTGATATTGGACAGAATAACCCCTCTTCCAGCAGAGAAGCCAGGAAGATCATGCTATCAAATAGAAGCAATAGCAAGCTAACTTCGAGCTATAACTGGTCCAGGAGCAGTGAGAGAGACGACGGGACAGAGAATGCTCTAAAGATGAGATCTGGGAACATTAGATGGTAGAAGGGAATGGGCGGGGGGAGGCCCTGCAGATCCAGATGTCTCATTCAGAGGAGAAAGAAAATGCTAGGTGAAAGATATCCTTTTCAATGTTACTGCTCAGGGCTGAACTGCATTTTTTAAGAATTATTTTCTGATATTTGAGTTGTCTGACTGAAGTCTTCTGGCCTTATCCCATAAATTGAAATTTTTGTAGAAAAACGGCACCTCTTCCCACCTTTCCCCCTTAAGTAAAGAACCACCCAAACACCTTGACTAGCTGCAAAGCTCACATTTCAGTAGAGAGCAGACTTGGTTCACTACAGTACTCAATGTCTTCATTCAAATTTTCATCATAAGTCTCATCCTGAGACACTTCCTCTTGGCAAACAATTGCCAGCTGGCTGTCTCTGGAACTGGAGCTAATGAGCAAAAAAGACAAGTCAAGATATGGAGATGGTAAAGACAACCTGTTATAAAGACAAGAATGACAGGCTCCATCTGTCTTAGTTTATTATAATGTTGAAGAGCTATTATAGAAAAATCAATGACTGAACAGAGCTGCAGAGTTCACAAACACAAAGCAACAACCTTTTCTGTGTCCTCTTTCAGAGAACGAGTTTCTTAAATCAATGCTGCACAATACTGTAAACATACTGTTGTCATTTGTGACTATGTGTACTCTATAAATGTGCACATCACACTGACCACATTCCCAAAGATACACCTCACTGAACTTGAAGTAAAATCCGAAACGGGCTCTTGCAAATGCAGCTTTTTCCCTTGTTGCAATAGCCTTGGTTACGAATTTCAGAGAAGCCTCCTAGACACGAACTGTAACCCTCTCAGCTCTGTGGTGTATGGTGTCTGCCTCCCAAATTCCTTACTCTGCACCATCTCTCCCCTCTGCCTCCTGCTCATGCTCTCGTTCCTTGCCATCTTTTCCATCTTTGGTCCCTTTTTTCTCATCACTAACTGCAGAGTGCTCTACTGAATTCAGTAGGATCTGTGCAAACCCTTAAGCGTGACAGCCCTTAATTCCCTGCTTGCCCCCTCCTTTTCCCTCTGTTTCATGTCTCGGCCCTCATATTTCACTTGATTCCGAGTTTGTGTTTTCTGAGGAGTAAAGTAAAATCTGAAGGTAGTGTCAATCTTTGAGATACCAACATGGAGGTATTGGAGCCAATATCAGTCTGTTACTAGCGTCCACAGTAGAGAGCAGTGTGGCGGGTTTTTTTCCATCTTTCAGGGACTGGATAGGAAACATTATTTTATCATTTGAGCAAAAAGTACTAGGAGAAATGTGCATATGCATGGTATAGCACAGCCTGTAGGACAGTGCTGGAGTGACCTTCCTTCTGAGATGGGAGGCAAGTAAAATTGCTAAGCTGCAGAGGGGAGAAATCACTACATGGCAGCTCCCCCTATTCAACAGTCTGTGTTTAGCCAAAACCATACAGAATTTTTGTATGAACATGCCACGGTGTACTTCACTGTGCTGTGACCAGAGAGTGCCTACATGTGTGAGCTCGGCTAGAAACTCTAAAAAAACCCCAAATCTAGAAACCAACTAGAAGCAGTCCATGCATCACTACCTGCCCGTGGGCAGAAAAGCCCTGACTTGGGAGTATTTTCTGGAGATGTCATGGTGATCGTTACCTCTTTTTCAGCCCTACTGACACCACAAAGAAGAGCTTATATTCAGCATTGATGAGGATCTGGACTTTCAATGGGACAAACAATGGGTCTTACACCCAGAGAGCATTAGAGCATGAGGAAGAACACGTACCGTCCCAGTGTTTCGTAGTAATGCGTCCTAATTCAAGGAAGATACCCAAGGAAGCAAGGAGAGAAAAGAACACCATGTTAGCAGTGTCACATCAGCACAAGTCAGCAAGGGGGAGGGCAGATGGTAAGACATGTTGTGCAACTCCTGAGGCCTCCCTCAGGAAGACATGAAATAGAAAAACCACTGGACTCTGCTTGGGCAATTCTGCACCCACTGAATTTCCTCCGACTTATTGTCCTATTCTGTCTTTTGCTGGGGCAGCATTTCTCCACTTTTTCACATTGCCCACTCTCTGCACTGAAAAAAATTTTCCATCTCCTTCCTGCTGTTACTGAAACAGTTAAAAAAAATCCCCCACAGATAAAAATAATACTCCTTTTGTATTCATCATCTGTGTGTAGACAGCCTGAAAGCTGCCCAGAGAAGGGGATTTTTTTTTTTGCTTTGCACAGTATTGCATTTCTGAAAACTTTGCCTCCCTCCTCCCAGAATGCCTTTGGTGACCTCTGTAGGGATGTGACCCACGGAATGAAAAATCACTGACTTCCACAAAGCTCCCTATTGGGCACCTAAGAGATGAATTGCAGTCCCTTTGTCTTTCAGTTAGCAATTGATAAAGCACCTCCCTGTGGTGAAGGAGGGATAAATAAGGCTCCTTTTGGTTCTTACAAAGGTTGCTTCATGATAAAGCCCAAAGAAATCAAGTGTGTTGGTCAGTGCGAGTGCTACTTCTTTGCAGTGGTCAACTGATGCATGTCTGTTGCAGCGTGGGCTTTACACAAGTGGAGAACCAGAAGGCTCAATCCAGGCTGCAGGCTGGGTGATGTCCGGTGGGCGAGTTCAGCTAGGCAGCAGTGCTCTGGTGTTTGCATGCGTGTTCCTCTCCCTGGTCCCTTGACCCACTCTCTGGTCTGTGAAACTTACCTTTTGGAAGGTAGTTTCCAAGGAGCCTCCTGCACACGTATGGTGGGTGACAAGGGGGTCCCGTGGCCTTCCACTGTGCTGACAGTGCTGGGGTAGCTGGGTGGGCTGGGGAAGCGGCACAGGGCAGTGTTGTTGGCATTGTTGATGTTGGCATTGGAGCCTGAAGATGAGTAGCTGCTGGGAGTGAAGGTGGAGTCCACCAGCTTCTCATGAGATGGAGACTCGGTATCTCCCTGGTTGTTGCCAGACTTATTGATGTGCAAAGGTCGCTGGGTGGTGAATGTCTGTGGGAACGCGCTCCTGCCATCGCTTTGGTAATAGCTGACATGGTTTCCGAACAAGCCTCCGGCTCTCTGTCAGAGAAATAGAAATTATTTTCCCCTTGTGAGTGAGATGATGTGCAAGGGCCCTGGTGTTTCCTGCTTAGCCTGTTGTTGAGGAAAAAAAAATGTGAGGACCAAAGTGTGCATGATGGCACTGGTGCTCTCTCTGCCAGAGGATAGTGCGTGGACTTCCCTGTCAGAGAGACTAAGTACACGTAGGTTGTGAAAGCTTTAGCTTTCTAAGATATTTCAGAAGACTGGCGAGGTGGATAGGTGAGGTAAAGGTGTCTCTACACCTCCCACCAGTCATGGGAGTACAGGACTGGGTAGGGATGCAAGAATCAGGTAACTGCTCTCTGGTTTTCACAGTGCAGTTGCAAAGCAACATTTAGACATGAGAGGGAATTTGAGAAAAGCACCAGAAACTATTAATCACCTGGAGGAACAAATGAAGAAAGATTTAATGAGCTGGTTGTGTACTGTTTAGGTGATAAGTAATGAAAGGGACCGACAGCATCTTTCTGTAAGAAAAGGAGGAAAATGCCAAAGGAGACGAGATATTACCAGAGGAGACAATTATAAGAAATAGGAATGAAATAAGAAAGAGAAGATTTAGGTAACTTGCTCAGAAAATTTCCTTCTTCCGTAGAAGCTCTATTGGGTTCTGGTGTACTTTTTGGAAGGACGCTACTTGTGCCACTGAAAGGAGGAGTGACAAAACACCAAACTGTGCCTGGCTGCTGCTCTGCAGACTGTAGGATGGCTGAACTGGCCTGCTCTTCAGACTCTTTGGCCATTCTCATTCTGATTTTATTTAGGTTTTATGAGGAAAACTTCCATTGAAAAGAAAATGGGATAAAAACTGTGCAAAGATCTCAGAACCTGGCATTCTGAGTCCACCACTCTAGGGTCCAGAAAACAAGAAGGAGGGCCCAGCTGAAATACAGAGTGCATAAAAGGGGATGTAGCACTCTGAGCTCAGCTACTGGTCTAGCCTGAGCTTGTAAACTTGTTCAGCACCTACCCGGAAGATATCATCTTCAGAGGCAGCAGAAACAGCTTCTTTCATGGCCTTATCTAGCTCTTCTTCAGCTGTCAGGTCTCCAGAAATTGCTCGTCGGATCTCTGGCCCAATGTCGTGAAGTGTGCGCAGACCAGCCTGCAAAACAGCAAACTATAGAGCTTCATATCTCCGAGTGGGTATATGAGAAATAAAAGCAGTGTTATTTCTTCCTAAGTACTGTGAAGCCCTTTTACTTAATATAGCATCCCCAGCCCCTAGAAAAACACCAGCAAATTCTGTCATCTCCAGCTTAGAGAGGGAAAAGCTCTTAGCAATTCAACACTGGAATGTTTGTTGCTAGTCCCCTGGCTTCATCATAACAGGACATAGACATAAATCCACAGGCTTGACTAAGCAAGTCTGCATGCTTTCAACTTTGGGTTCTCAGATCCACAACCAGAAGCCCTAGAGCAGCCACAGTTCCAGCTGAACCATGTACTGGGTGCCTCTGAAAATCCTCTTATTTTTAATCAGCAGCTTAAATATGTATTTAATAGCTAAACTTCTGGCATGTGGACCTGGACAGTCCTCAAACCCCTCACTGACTGGAATCTGCTCCAGGGAGTCCATCCAGGGAGGTAAGCTGTGGCTATGCCAGGCCCTCAGTCTGTATCTGTGCCTGCGTCACAGCACTTTTTAGCTTGCTGGAACCCCAGAGTCACCCTTCTTCCTTACTGTACACTCCAGGGACAAAAATGGTGCTGCTGGTACAGTCAATGGGGATTTCTCATTCTTTCACACAGCCTGGTAGTCCACCCAGTGAACACGTAGCTCAGTGGTGAACAGATCCTAGGTCTCAGAGCCTGATGCTCGGTCCGTTTGATGGCCTTGGCATCCAGGTATGCTTTTTGCGTTCTAACTGATTTTGCCTCCTGGCAACATGCTCTCCCTGACCGTGTTATAGTGACTCCCCTCAGAAAGGGAAGAATGAATGTGGGAATAAGCAAATGTCTGCTGGACACTTCATACCAGTTCTCTAAAAGGAACTCAAATTTCAAATATTACCAGCAGATTGATGAACTGTGGATATACCTCACTTGTGCCTTCCACCTCCAGAGCTAAGGCATGTGGCCTGTGGTACATACATGTTTATCCAAAAGGATTGATGTGGTAATTCAAGAGGTCTACAAGCTCCTTTCCAGTGGGGATAGCCCATTGCAGCCCCCAGAATGGCTGAGAGGGAAGTGGGGTCAAATGCCTCTACTGTACCACCCCTGTCCATCCTGTGCCCGCTTGTCACCTGTAAGGAGAGCGCGTTGCGCTGGGAGGGCTTGCCCACCAGTCCCTGTTCTTTACGTTTCTTGAACTTCCGGAAATACTCCTGAATCAGGAAAGTGGCGTAGAACTTCCCAACGGTCACCTCATCATCTGCAAAGGGGTATTAAAACAAATATTAAATTAAATAAGCAACTGATTTTAAACAGTGTATTTGCTAATGTGAGCCTTGCAATTCACAGCAGAAACACTAGGCACCGCAGTACATCTCTGCTGTTTATGGCATCAGGATGCAGGGCTGAAGGAAGGGATTGCTCCACAGCCAGAGCTTGCTGTAAGCAGTCAGGAGGAGAGGTGCACGTGGCATTTGGATAGACTGGCTCTGCTGGCAGAGAACCCCTACAGCTCTGCATCTCTGGATGTACGTTGTTTATGGTGAAGTGTCTCTAACCTTTGCAGTCTCTATTGGTTTACCACATAGGATCTTGCTATAGCAGCAGCCTCCCAGTCTGGGTCAACATATACTGCTCTGTCTTGTGATAGCCTGGGATAAAACATACTCAAGAGTCTGAGCTCACCAGTAGCATCTGACTGACCATCCATCCCAGACCTGATCTTGCCCTTCTCTGCATTGAAATTCTGTCTGGTTGTGCCAAGCATGGGTGTGAGCGAACCAAAATGATCACCTCTCCCCAGAAATGCAGTCATTGCTGTATTCTCACTCAATACAAACTGTCAGCGGGCCAAAATGTGCAATGAGGTTTTATGCAGGTAACTCCCCTCCCTTCTCCAAACCCACTGGCAATTTTATAAGACATGGTCCACTGACTCCAGAGCAGACTGAGCAGCATTCAGGATCTGGCTGCAACTCTTAACTAACTGCCAAGTGTTGTTTTGTGCTATAGCCCCTGGAGCCACCTGGAAGGCCAGTGAAGGCCACACTGGATGCCCATGCACCTGAGGTCCTAAGAAGACTAGCAAAGGAGTTGCCTAGAGGCCTGGTAATTACAGCTTACCAGGGACCCTGCATAGAAACCCACAGCAATCTGTTACACCAGTTCAGACTGGCTGAGGAATATGCACAGGTACATCAGTCTTTGACAGATATCATAGTATAAAGCAGTTATGTGAGTAAAAAAAAGAGTCATATGCCATAGTAAAGGCAGTTTTGCTAAATATGAAGAGGTTATAAGACGGGGCTGCATCCTTAACTTGAATGTAAGGACATAGCTCTTATGCAGTCAGATAAAGTCCACATCATCCTCCTGGAGCCACTCAATTCTGCCTGCTTCCTTTGCCTCCAGCAGGCACCAGGTAACATCCAGGGGAGCAAATGCCTATGATCAAACTGGGGCAGGATTTAGGAATAAAGGTTTCTAACTCCAATTGATACACCTTTTCTTCCTTCCCTGATTTCTCACTAGTAAGAACATGTTATTCATGTTAGTACAGGAAGAAACAGATCTCAGCCTGATGAAATACAGGTAACAGCTTGTAGAAGAAAGCTTGGCCCACACATTCCACCTGATGATCACGAGGTGCAGTTAGAAATGTCAGGTGGGAAAAAAGACAGAGGTTCAGAGACCGGGACAAGATCCTGCACTCACCACCTGCGGGGGGCACCACCTGGTCCAGCAGCTTCATACTGGTGCGCTTCCAGATTTTCTTAATTATTGCTCTCAGCTCTTCGTTGGCTTGCTCCAGGTTACCTGCAGGGTGAAAATCATCAGAGACAGGAACTAAGCAGACCCTGCAGAGGAGCAATTTCACGTCTGGCATGGCAATCTTAGGAGGAAAATATCAGAGTTTTTTCAAGAGTGGAAAGTTTTGGGCAAAGAGTTGCTCTGACCATTGCTAAAGCCGCCTCACAGCAAGAGGTCTTCTTCCTAAATATGCATAGTCATCTTAGGGTAGGAAGGTGACTGTGTTACTGTTTGATAGTCTGCAACAGCCAGAAACAACAGAACCATGGTGCTGCTTCATCCTGAAAAGCAACAATGTCATCTAACACTTCAAATTTTAACTGACACTGAGTGAAGGTTAAATATGATGAGAATAGAGATCAGTTAATGGGAAACTACAGATTGGGGAACACAAATAATTGGTGGTAAAGATGCATCTAGAAATCTGAAGAGCCTGCTTGCAGCACTTCCCAAGAATTACATGTTGCAATCCCTGCCTCCCAGCAGATACCAAGTTCTTCACATGGTGCCAAGAGTCTACCTTGGAGAGTCTGCACAGTGCTCTGACAAGGCACTCCAGGCATGTGCAAGGCTTTCACTGTCTGACTCAGAGGACTGTCCCAGGTTATTCGTGTTTATTCTCTGAAGAACAGCATAGGCTGTAAGAAGCCTTTTATGTAACTGTCTGAACTTAGACTTTACATGTTGCTCCAAGGGGCTCCGAGGTAAATGAGGCATTAAGCAAGCCACACTACCCCTTTGAGAGTGAGTGAAGAAGATTTGGTTTATATCCTTTCCTTCTAGATACCCATTTCCTCCCAGACAACTTGCCTTCAATTTAATTTCCCGATTTATGTACATTCAAACCCCTTATAATTGAAGCTCTCTTCTCTCTCTAGTTGTGTGGAAACCACTATCTTGTCCTCCTAAAGATGCTGTTCCTGCAGCTTTTCTTACTGCTCCCCAGCATTAAGGCTCGTCAGTGTGCTTCACAGGGCTCTGCATGGCAGTAGCTCTCTTAACAGGATGCAGTGAAGACAGGGACACTAAGTAACTCACTGAGGATGAAACAGGTGGACAGCATCGAAGGCAGAAATCTGACTCAGGAGGGCTAATTCCACACTCCTGCCCTAACCATTTACAAGATCCTGCCAAGGCACGAAAGAAAGCAGTTTGAGGCTTTAGGTGGTTTCCCAGGAGTTCACTGGCAATGACTCCGAGAGTTTGAGGCTAAAACGGGCAAGAAAATTGAGTCTTTTTTGGGTCTCTGTTTCATAAGACACAAGATGTCCTACAGGGGTTGCGGTTGGTTTTTTCCTCAGGAGAACCTCTTTGGCTACAGTCAAATTCTATTTAGCGCAGTTTTCAAGGCCTTAATATAATTTTTTGATTTTACCACTTTTTTTTGGCTCAGCTGCCTGTATAATCCTGGCACGGTAAGCTAGGGTTCTGCTGGTCTCTGCTTTCCCATGCCTGAAATGTAATGCAGCCACTCCTGAGGCAGAGGTGTTTAGCTGTGAATCACAGACCTACACGGTCTTTTAGACCATCTCATTAATACATGAAGCCAGGTTTTGCCTCAGGACCAATATCTTTCATTACAGCAGGTGACAGATTGCAACAAAGGGGACTAGCTGAGCCCAAAATCTTGTCTGCTTTCCCCAACTATACCCACTGGTCTGTGCAAAGCTATTAACACTCCCTTTGCTTCTCATCTGTCTTTAGGCCTACAACACCACTGTCACTACAATGTGATGTTAACTCATGCTAATGGAAGCACAGGAGGAGTTTTAGTGGGGTGAGACCCTCAAGTCCAAGCTCTTTTGCCTCCCTTGGATTGGAAGATCAGTGGCAACAACAGTCAAAAAGTGGCCCAGCTCTGCAGCCAGTTTGCACAACGGGCTTCTTCCTTCTCCTGATTGCTGTTTGAGGAAACATTGATCTAAAACTTTTAACTTTGAGACCATCGTAAAGAATGTGATCAATAGTCTGAGATGATGCCATGGGAAGCACCAGCTTTCTAGAAAACTGGAAACACTGTTCTCTCTCTAGAAGATATTATTCCTCCAAACATCTTTACATTGCTTTTTGTACCATGTGCTGCATATGAGTAACTGGGATCATTTTACACAAGATGTCCTTATTGTTGTATTCCAGCTCAGCACCCTTTGGTGTGAACACTGCTCAGCTGCCTTTGTACCCTTGCGATCAGCAAGCTTCTTACCTTCCGTCTTGATCCTCAGTGCTGTTCTGACCAATGCAAAGAGAGTGGCATTGAACATGACAGTCCCATCACTGTTCAGTGGCATATTCATGGAGACAAGGCGCTGTGGAGTAAGGAGAAGAAAGAGAACAGTCATACTGCAGACACATGGACTGAAGCATGCTCTTCCTTATGCGCTCATGATGCCCTCCAGACCTGCCACCCCTCTTATGTGAGCATCCATGGCCTGTGGATTTAGTTACACAATTATAAAAGTACTTCTCATATCCACCGATGGCCCCAACCATGGTGTGTTTGCCCTGGGGTCTCTCTCCCATTGCTAGATACTCCATTTTTTTCAATGTGGCTATCACTTTCTAACCTTCGTTTTCCTCAGTGGCCAGTGGGCATTTGCCCGCAGTGTATTACACGGACAGAGATCTATTTGTTCCAGTCCCCAAACCATTTGGCTTTTAAATGACACCTTTTTTTCTTATCACAGCAAACTGATTTCTTCATGCCTCACGAGGCACTTGCAAACTCACCTGCACTAAAGCTGTGCCTGGTGCAAACGTATATAAACAGAGAGCCAGAATTTTTTTTTTAGGTGACAGGCTTGAAGAAAGGGGATTAACTGAACCTGAAAGCTGGTCTGCTTTACCCAGCTATTCCCCCTCTCCCTTTTAAAACAAGGCTGTGTCTGCGCTGCAGTAATTCTGTAAAGCCATGTAGGACAGAGAGCGAGTGCTGAGTACTGTTGCAGCTGCAGGATGAACTTCAGTGAGACCTACAACATGCCTCTGAGACAGATGTAGCAGAGTCACCAGCTCTTCAGTCCTTACTTCTGTCTCAGGAGGCAAGCGACACCAGGGACTTGGTTTGAGCTCTTATGCTTTCAGGGGTTGATTTTGTTCGAGCTCTGTCTTCTGCCACTTTCATGCAATTTTGGTACCAAATTGGAGGAAAGGGTGTCATCCCCCATCGCTACCACTGCAATCATAGACTGGGGGGTTTGAACCAGATGATTGAGACAACAAACAACTGCTAGACAGCAGACTGAAAGGGATCGGCTGTAGGCCACAGAAGTCATACATTTCTGTGTACAGGCCCCAGGCTCTGTATTTTGCTCTGAGACTGAGATAAAAAACAACTACAAATGTCACATACAAACTCTGGGACTTGCGAGGAGATGAACAAAGAACTTGAAGTGAAGGAAGCATAAAGGTTATAAACATGCCATTATTCACTAGAGAGAGTCCCTTTTCATAGCCGGAGTCTCACAACCAAAGAAATGAGTGAGACATTTTCACAGTAAATCTGTCCTTGCCCTTCCTGTATTTTAATACCACGCTCACCTTGCTGTTTAATATCTGTCGGTTATTTAAGCAAGAAGGAGAGATTACACTAGGTTTTTTGGTGCGCTGCTTAGTCCAAAGAAAATCTCAGAGATATTTTTACTTGCTCTGTTATTTCTGTCTGTCCTCATCTGTCTTGGTACGTGTGGTTGATACTGCAAACATATGCGTGGTTGATTCAGTGCTCGATACGGGAGAGCTGCAGTTAGCACGGACGCTCTCTCCTATCCAGAGCGAGGGCTGGCGCTGGGCTGATGTCTCTGACCAGCGGCCAACCCGCCTGCTGGTCACCCTCCAGCCCCGGGCAGGGCCGTTGCCGCCCAGGGGAGCCGGGGAGCGGCGCAGGGCGGCCGGGGGGGACGCTTCAAAGCCGTGCGGTTGCCGGCTGTGCCGCGGCGGGGCAGCAGCC